GAAACAGGAACAAAAAAGGTGTGAAACTAAAAACCAAACCTGACTTTGACATCAATATTGTTGTGCTTCCACTCTAAATGTATAATCTCATTTGATAATGCAATACTTTATACAAAGTATATTTTTTCTAACCATCATAATAGTATATTTTCAATAACTTAACATGGTAAATATTATGATGTAGCATTAAATTATAATCATTAAAAAAAAAAAAAAGATGGTATACATGTTTTTTTTTTTAATATTTATAGAGTAACAAACTTTATTTTTTTTTTTTTAATATTTATAGAGTAACAGACCTTATTTTTACAAAATAAAAAGCAAGCTAAGTCATGTTAAAAAGTTATCAACAACAAAAGATATAAAAGAAATGATTATCACCACCAACGCGCGGGTACTAATCTAGTAATAATGTAATATTAATAACAAAAAAAAATGCCTAGTGTGAAACTACTATTAAATTAATACAAGAACAAAAACAGCTTAATTGTTATCAACCCAAAACTTGAGCATCTTATCATATTACAACAACCAAGTTAGTAATCCTTCAATTTTGCTACGTTATTGTCAACATATAACAATATGAGAGGTCCAAAGGTGCTAAAAATAGTACCAGGAATAATAATGTTTGTAACATTATTGTCCCTAGCTACCACCACAACTTCAGCCACCGCGACTGCTCCCACTCCAGCCCTCACGGCTGCTCCCACTTCACCATCGCCACCTCCTGTTTGCGATGGTGAAGTTACCCCCGCCATTACACTAGCACAAGACGAAGAAGTAGTCAAGAATTTCACAGACTTTATAGTAAAGACCAACGTCGAAAAGCTTGTAAATGGTACGTACAACCCTTTGTTGCATGGACGTCTAATTGATTGTGGATGTGGTAAAATAATAGATACACGTTCACCTGGAGAAATGGAAGCAGCTATTCTTAAGTTTTGTCAAGGAAAGGAATTTGTTTCGGTTTTCGAAGCCTATGTCCTTTATCTCATACAGTTGGCCACGGAGTCTCAAGGCGGCTCGCAACATCAGCTCCCTCTATCGCCGCCTAGTGGTGCTTTTTTGAACAGTATACCATCGTCGTCTGTTACACCAATCTTGTTGATTCTCAGATTGCTAACTTTGAATCTTCTATCGAATCAATGGGAAACATTGGCTAACAAGCTAAGGATTACACCTAACAACCATTATAGCCGATTAGTTGGTTTACTTGTGAGAGGTCTCAGTTCATTAATGTCTTTCTACTTATAAAAAAAATAAAATTGTACGTCTTTTGGTCGGTCTTATTGCAATTCGTAAGATGTTTTTACGTGGTGTGTGATCATGATGTATGGTCTTATATTTTATTAAATTAAAATTTGTTAGTTGTTAATTAATTGTAATTGGTTTTTTTCATATTCACTTTTTTTTATGAGTGTATTATTCCATGAGTTTTTATGAAATCCTATTCATACCTAAACAAGTTCTTGGATGCCTGATAACATATTATTTTATTTTAACATAAACAAGACGAAAATATATAAATTAACCATTACTGTTTTACAAAAGATAGCTTTAAACACAAGGCGAAATATGAGGATATGACAATATAACTCATCGAAGGCTTCAAGATATGCGCAAATTATAAAGCTTGCCTAGATCTTATACTCCCTCCGTGTTTTAATAAGTGTTACACTTTGACCGACACCTACATAGTTTTAAGCAATTTAATTGCCTTAAATAAAATAAGAGGTAAGTGGGGGTAATTGGTGATTTAAAAATTGTAAAAGAAAAATAGTGGAGTTTATAATTTATTGAAAAGTAATGAATGCGAGAAGAAGAAAATAATAACAAAATAAAAAAGTTGTGGGTGTGAACTATAAAAGAGAAAGATATAATATTAAAATGTAGTTTTTTGCCAAAACAAAAAAAGTGTAATACTTAAACACAGTCGCATTTGTTAAGTGTAACAGTTAAACACGAAAGGAGTACATAAGATAGGAATAACACATAAAGCCTGGAAAAAAAACATACTAGAATTGGAACCAAGCTTACAGCTTAGAGTTTACATATAATTGTGCATAATAAAAAATATAATCATTTAGAGTTTGATATAATTGTCTCCATATATAGTTTCATAATATCAATTTTTATAATTTACACTTATTGTTAATTTAAGACACGTATTATAGATCAAAATTTGGCTTTACACATACGTAATCCATTAAACTAGGGCACTAAATAAAAAGAGTAAATGAAAGAGAATACAACACAGAGCTTCTATGAATAGTGAATAGTAGAGGGATGTTATTGATTTTGTGAAGTACGGGAGGCTCTTTTCCAAATGCACCCTAATAAATTGAAACCTATGCTTGGCTCTATAATTTCTGTCCAACAAAGTGCTTTTGTTCCGAAGAGACTCATTACAGATAATGCACTTATTGCTTTTGAGATCTTTCATGCTATGAAGCGTGGGGGAGAAGGGAAGGATGGAACGGCGGCTCTTAAGCTTGACATGAGTAAAGCTTACGACAGGGTGGAGTGGTGTTTTTTGGAAAGAGTAATGTTGAAGATGGGATTCGGTGTGCCGTGGATTAAAAGAATATTGAATAGCTTATCGAGTGTTTCTTTTTCCTTCAAGAGTAATGGGAAGATTTCAGGGCATCTCAAGCCTTCCCGGGGTCTTAGACAAGGGGATCCGATTTCGCCGTACTTGTTCTTATTATGTGCCGAGGCTTTTTCATCTCTGCTTTCCAAGGCTGCGTGTGATGGGGTGATTAAGGGGGCGCACATATGTAGGGGTGCTCCGAGAATTTCACACCTTTTTTCGCCGATGATAGCATCTTATTCGCGAAGGCAAACTTGCAAGAATGCTCCAAGTTAGCTGCTATAATCAGTACCTATGAAGGGGCGTCCGGACAGGAAGTGAATCTTAGCAAAATTGAAGTCGCGTTTAGCAAAAGTGTCTCATCGGATCAAGGAAGATTGATTGTTGAAACTCTTGGTACGAGGGAGGTGGACAAGCATGAAAAATACTTTGGACTTCCTACCATTATGGGGAGGTCGAAAAAGGCAGTCTTTACATGTTTGAAAGAGCGGATTTAATTTGGAAGAAGATGCATGGATAGAAGGAGAAGTTGTTGTCTCGCCCGGGTAAGGAAGTATTGATAAAGGCGGTGGCCCAAGCTATCCCTACGTATATGATGAGCATCTTTAAAATTCCCGAAGGTATCATAGATGAAATACATTCAATTTTGGCTCGTTTTTGGTGGGGGTCGGGAGATGCGATGAAGAAAATGCATTAGCATAGTTGGGAGAATTTGTGTTTACCAAAATCGATGGGTGGAATGGGATTTAGGGATTTTAAATGCTTTAACCACGCGTTGTTAGCAAAACAATGTTGGCGGTTGTGTAGAGATGGGGACTCATTGTTATATGCTACATTGAAAGCAAAGTACTTCAAAAACTCCGATTTTTTGAGTGCTTCTCGTGGTTATGATCCTAGCTATAGTTGGCGAAGCTTATGGGGGACAAAACCGCTTCTTCTTGATAGATTAAAATGGCGTGTGGGAAATGGGAACTCCATTAGAGTGTAAGATGATTCTTGGATTAATGGTAAGGGGTGGCATTATGTTCCTACTCCTCTCCCGGATTCAGACCTGGACATGCGTGTGTGCGAGTTAATTGATTTTGAGGGGGGTAGGTGGAATGCAGAGCTGATTGATTCTGTGTTTGCTGATGAAGACAAGGATGCAATTCTTAACACTCCTCTATCTATCAGGTGGCCAAGTGATGTTAGATACTGGTGGCCAACATCGGATAGTATCTACACTGTCAAGTCTGGATATTGGTTAGGCAGACTCGGGTGCCTGAGAGCGTGGGAATTACTCTCAAATGGCAGCAATACGGGGCTGTGGAAGTTGGTCTGGAATTTGGGTGGTCCACCAAAGGTAAGCCACTTCCTATGGAGGGCCTGCAAGGGAAGTCTTGGGGTGAGGGAAACACTCTACAAGCGTCACATTTGCCCCACTAAATGCTGTAATATCTGTGGGAGAGGGGATGAGTCAATTATCCATGCTACTTTCTTGTGCAAGCACGCTTCTGTTATATGGGGGGTGAGTGAGTTTGTTGATTTGCTGAGGGATGCTCCTGATGCATCTTTTGCTGAGAGGTTTGAATGGGTGGCTGCACGATTGGAGAAAGAGAAGTTGAGGGTGTTTGCATCTCTGATTTGGGCGGCTTGGCATTGCAGGAACAAAGAAGTATTTGGCGAGGCTGCTGGTTTGGATGCATCTAAAGTGGCTACAGGTTTTGTTCAATATGGTGTAGATTATGTTGCTTACAAATGTAAAGGTCTGCATGCCAAACAGAAGTGCTGGTGCGTATCCTGGTATTGAAAGATGGGTTCCCCCCGATAGCTCTGTGAAAATCAATGTGGATGCCCACATTTGTAATGGTGTGGGTGTTAGTTTTGGGGTAGTGATTTGTGACAGCGGGGGGAGTTTACTTGTAGCTGCTGTGAAGAAAATCCGTGCAAGCTGGCCTGTTGTTCTTGCGGAAGCTGGTGCTGCTGCCTCAATTGGCTAAAAGGATAGGTTATCAGAATGTCAATTTTGGAGAGTGATGCTTGGAATGTCGTTCGTGCTATTCAACACAAACGTGATGGGGCTGCTCCTATTTTTCTGTTTTTTGATGATATTAGTAGTGTTAGCAGAGAGTTTGTTTCTTTTAAATGTACTCATGTAAAGTGGGGTGGGAATGTGGTAGCGCATTTTGTTGCTCGGTGGGAAACCTCTTTTTCTACAGAGCGAGTTTGTATGAATGTTTTCCCCCAAAATTCTGGTAGAGCATACCGTGGTCCTTGGGGTAGAAATGGATTCCAAAATTTTAATGTGGCTCTGCTAGTTAATAACAGTAGTTGGATTTATGGGATCGCTCTAATACTTCATTTAAAAATAAAATAAAATAAAATAAAAAGAGGGGGGACTTATTTCTTGCTGTTCATCAGAAACACCAGATTTGATCAAAACATATTTGCATTAAAATGTAGGCTGTGGGAAAATTGCCTTCAAGATGTTTTAGAGTACAGCGTAACTATCAATCTAAAATCAACTGCGTAAAATCCTAATATACAGTGAGCAATACCCTCTGATACTAACAAGGAGCCAGCACAATTACAATAACAATCAAAAGGGATCGAGTTTGATTGGAGTCTCTATCTCGTTGGTCTAGTCCAAGTAGTCTCTGAGGTATTTGAGTTAGCATAGTAAACCTGCTTAGACGAATCATCCCAATAAGCCTGCAAAGTACATAAAAATGGCAATAATATTAGATTTGAACACCAATAATCTCTTTACTACATATCAATCAGAAATTATTGATCCCTGGAGCTGAGTCTGCATGACATACCTGCCACCCAGGAGAAAGATCTCTTGAAAGTTCATTCATATCAGGCTGCTTGGATCCATCATCCGCATTGTCTGAGGTTGTCCCCACAGCAGCTGCTTTCTGAGCTCTCTTGCGCTTCACGCGTTCACGCCTGCAGTGTTATCAAATAAGATTAGGCAGAAATGGCGGGCACATGCTTCATGCATTTCTTTTCCTTCTTACTCTATCTCAGCTAAGCAAGGCTGCATAAGTGCCACTAAATGGCCAGTCTTACAAATGATTTTTATAAAAAATTTAAATAATTTACAAATGAAAAAGCTACAGGGTAACTTTGGATTGTATTCTGAATTTTAGAATGGGATTATTCAAGCATTTTAAGGCTTGCTTACCAGTCACCTCCAAGCAGTTGGAAATTTGCATTTTCTTTAGCCTCTCCACTTGCAATCTGCTGGGCACGCCATCCCTGCAGTCAAGTCCAACAGTTTAGATTGACAATATAACGCATCGCACATTCATGCCGTACCACAAAAAATCAGCAATGGTTCAATTGTTACCTCTATTTCTCGTTGTCTCTTCTTTTCAAGCATTTCCAACGGAGTTTTACGTTCCTCTTTTTCCTCTTCCTGTAGCTCCTCTTTTGCAGCCTTCCACTGCTCAATGAAAATATACACAACATTACTCATCATATCTTAAACATACCTTTTTGATGAGCTAGAATAACAACAAAGAACCATCGTTCAGAAATTCACCTTGTCAACTAAACCGGACACTTTCTTGTTAGACCTTAAAGAAGAATTTACAGAAACCTTTGGTTTTTTCATTCGTGCAGCTGCATAAAAGGGAAATGTGTGAGTGCTGATAACCTTGCATTGAGGATTATACATCCAATCATAGCAATAATTCATAATAAGATAACAATTACCAATGTGAAAACTCACTGTGATAGGGTCTAAAAAGTTCCCATTCCATACACAACCATGCTTACCTCTAATCAGTACAAGCCAGTAGAGAGATTATTCCCAAAAGACCTTCAAGACTCGAAAGAAACAATTTTCTTCGAGAAGGTACCAATCAAAGTTGCAAGATGATAAAAAAAATAATCTCCAAGAATAATAGTGAGAGTAGGATGCAAAGGCAATACTAATTTACAACTATCAATCATGTTGCAGCAACAAGAGAAAGAAATAGATGAATAATTTGCTGATACCAGATTTTGCCTATTTTACCCTCTTCAAAGAAAAATAAGAAATGAGCAAACCCAGAGCATTGACCCAATATATTTGCCCATCTTATTATGTTGAGTTATCCCAGAGCATTGACCTCTTGGGTTAAAAATAAAAAATAAAAATCCATTGATATAAAATTCTGAACTCCTCCACTATATTAACATAGTACTCATTCAACTCTGTAGTTCTGTACAAGTGTTTATCCTCCCTGATACCTGTGAGAAGTCAATATGGTCAAACCTAGATCGAAAGGGAATTCTATACTATGCTTACCATTATCCTCTCATAACCCATATGAAAAAGAGAATAACTACTGCTCACACTCTCACAGTTCCACACACTAGCAATGTTTGACTTATATCATACTTTTTAACTAGGTTCTACTGTTTCAAATAGCAAGTTGGAAATTGAGCATGAATAGCAGTTTCAATTGTAATGTCTATCAATTCGTTAGCTCAACTTGTCTGTTCCCGAAGAGAGCAGACGCCTTGCAATTTGCTACCAAAACCCTGAAATAGTAATTGTGAACAAAAACACTACCTTTAGGCTGCACCTTTGAGAATGCAGCAGATGCATCAGGAACAGCAACAGATGTACCCGTGACCGTAACACAAGTAGCAGCAGCACTGTAAGAGGGAGCTGAAGCAAAATCTTTTAAGGATACAGTTGCTGGAGCAGATGATACAGAAGTTAAGGACAATTGAGTAGGGGCAATATCAGGCTCAGCATCAGGGGCAACAGGGTCTACAAATTGTTTCGACAAAGAAGATGCCCTTGCCACTGCATCTACTGTCCCAACTTGCTCAGAAGATGGAGGATCATAATTTGAATGACCTGGTGCTTCCAGGAGATTAGAAGGTCCCATAGTAGTGGGCACATGTACTACTGGCAATGCCCCATTAGGAACACCATAGTACACTGCAGAATCAACAGGATTTAGCACAGGAGTGGACTGAGCATTTGAGGCGGCAGCATAATAAGCTGGGGGAGCAAGGGCAGCTATCTGACTTGCATCAGCATGCTCATAAAAAACTGTGCCTGTTGAATCTGTGATTGTGTTTCCATAATAGTTCCCACTGGGATCTATGTAAGTATTACTGTGTTGTTCACTATACATAGATGGCATTGGTTCTGGTTCAGATGGGGGTGGTGGTGGGTATAGAGACTCGGGAGGTTCATCAGGTGGGGGAGGAGGAATCCCCTCGTCAGGGGGGGGTGGGGGAATCCATTCCTCTTGTGGAGGAGGTGGAATAAAAAATTCATTTTCTGGTATTGGGGAAATCCCTGCCATTGGAACATTTGTCTGAACTAATTCCCCTGAATGGGCTGCCAATTGATCTCCAATATCAACAATCCTTTTCCTTGCAGGGCTTTGATCTTCAACTTCCATGTCAATATCCATGTCCACATCTTCATTAGATTGAAATTCGAAATTCGGAGTCGCTTTGCCATAAACTGCAGGCTCATCGAATTCTCTATCACCTTCAATTCCAGAATGCTGATGTCCAGGAGGGTCTTGTAGAGAAGATTGCTGAACATTTGAGATGCCATCATCCAAAGCCTTATCATGTATATCTTTCTGAGCCATCACTGATGTATCCACATTGTGCACAGCCTCAACAAAATTTTCAGGAGACAGCTTTCTCATACTAGCATCCACCTCAGCTTCCCCTCCAACTTTCAGATTAGCCTCCTTTCCTTCAGTTGACACGTGCAATACACTAACTTTATTATTATGGTTCCCAACTTCAGTGTTGAAAGCATTTTCAAGCTGATTTAACTGTCTTTCCACGTGCATCCAAAACGGAACCAATGACATCCCGTAGGGTAAAAGACACCTAATATCAGAAAGCCGAATCTCAATTTCCAACATATATTTGGATAACCAACCATGTTCAACAGAGTCTACCCCAGACCTGAAACAAATAACAAGAAATAAACCAAATACTTTACGATCCAAAAAATTACTAAATAGAAAATACATTGTGATGAAAACTTGGTATTAAAACAAACAAATTAGTACCCTACCTTTGCAGTAGCTTCAGTTTCTCTAGCAATGATTCACCATTTTTCAAAAGTTGTGAAGGAAGATCAACAGCCCCTTGTTCTGTGGTTAATGCACTCTGATCATGTCCCTCATAACTACTGGCAGCTAAACTCCCACCACTAGGATCTAGATGTCCAGATAAAGAGTAGTTCCCAAGAGAGGAGGCTCCATAAGGAACTGCACCAACTACAGGGAAGCCCCCCAAAAACTGACTTCCATCAACTCCAGCTTGCCCAAGAGATTGATCTACCATCGATCCTTGTTCATACATGGCCTTCAGACCCGAAATTTCACTAGTGTACCCTACACCTTGACTTGCCGAATAGTTATCCAAATTTGCTCCAAAAGAAGCTGGAGCAGCTGGAGCTGCATTCACTTTCATATCTGTCCCCAAAATTTCAAGTTCATTAGGAAATGCAGCATCCTGGGCCAAACTTTCAGGTATGTCCCATGAGGTTTCTCCAGTAACGGTGTTCCAGTAATAGTATCTGTTGCTCTCTTCATGCAACACCATTTTCCATGTGGAACTCCTACCTTCAGAGGTTTTCGTATCAGAAGCCACAGGAACATGATCTTTGTTCTCGATACCTTCATGACCTTTCTCGTCCGAACTAACCATATTACTCTTCACAGCATCAGCCTCTGCTATTGGTGAAGCATTTGCAGAGACAGAATCTTTCCCCACACCCAAATTGTGAGCCGTTAGAGAAGAATGGTCCTCAATGTCAACAATTTCCCCCTCTTCAAATGGCTCGCAGGCAGAGTCATTAGCCTGTTAAAAATGAGACATGAGTCCAAAGACAAAGCTAGCACATTCAATATATAAATAAGTCAGACCCATGGAAGTAGACTGAAAGTTTGGAAGAGACACTACTTTTACAGTTCTACATGCTTCATTTCACTGTTAACTACCAACTCCAGATAAACATCAGCCCCACAAGAAGCTAAAAGATTTTTAGAATAAAAAGGTCTTGTAAGTCAGATTCCTAGTTTTAAAGGAGAAACACATCTGAATAATTAAAGTAAGTACAGATGATGAGTACACATAATCATTACAGAAGGTTGACATTAAACTTTCCCTTAATGTTAAGAGTGTGTATATTTTAAAAACCATATGTTCAAAATTGGTATAGAAATCTACATTTCTAATATATCATACTCAAAATCAAGCTCATAATGCTAGGTCATCCAGTTAATAGTAACCTGTTTATCATCATCCGAGTTAGTAGCTTCTTCATTTAATCCATCATCCAATTCATCATCACTATATTGACCAAGCAGTGATAGAGGGTTCTCTGGTGGTTGACCTGAAACACGACTTCAAAAAATTACAAACTTGTGCAACATCCATACAATTCTAACAGCAAAGAACATCGCACAAAAGCATATAGAGGCAACAGGGATAGGAAAAAGGCAAAAGTGCCAAAGTGAGCAAATGAAGTCCAAATAACTGAACAAATGGGCTGGCATAAGAGCACTTATTATCTGTTCACCACCAACCTGATACACATTAAGAAACGTCAGCAAGGTGTGATGCTAATGAAGTGAGAGATATACGAACCGAAGAAAATATTTCCCTTGCAATTCTCCATAATGCTGCGATGCTGCCTGAAACAGCATTACATGTAGGAAGACATTCACTGTATCACAGTGGCAGGACAGGGCTTATCTCACCAGTGAATGTTAGTAACACCACAGCCACTCTACATTCTGAAAACAGATACTTGGAAGGAAAAGCAATATTTCTTATATCAAAAACCCATATTTCCATGAAGACAATGTCGTATACTCATGCCTTCTCTACAAAATCCTTTTGAAGAAAACCGACAGAACCCACCTGAAGAAGAGGGTGAATTTGACAACTCAGGATCATGTTTGCTGTCCACATCCTTTCCATCTTCATCTTTTGCAGAGGTGCCACCCAAATCTCCTATGTAATTAACCACCATAACAAATTAAAACATATCTTAACATTAACACCAGGAAAATTAAAACTATTCCAACAAAAAGAGGATATTAACCCATAATGAAGCTCTAATCACCTAAAATAGTGGTCTCGGATAACACAATTCACAACAAAATTACATTTTCCAACTGAAAGAGGTCATTTTCCAAATTAAAAACATATCTTAGCATTGACACCAGGAGAATTAAAACTATTCCAACAAAACAAGGAAACCCGTAGAAAGTTCTAATCGCCTAACATAGTGGTCTCGAATAATTTGATTTACAATAAATTACATTTACCAACAGAAAGAGGTCATTAACTAAGATTGAAACTCAATATTCGTACTTTTATAGTTCCAACTTTTAGTCGTTCAACAACAACATTACCATCAAACACTTCAATTTAAACCAGCAAAATCAAGCTAATTACAACATACAGTAATCAAAACCAATGCTTACAAAACCCTCTGAATTAATTAACTCCAAAAATCATAATAAACTACCGTAGTAGTAAATCAATCAATCAATTTCAGTTATTTGCAACTCCTAAAATTTCCAATTGAACACGGAAATTTCCAATCTCGGCAACAAATTAAACCCAAAAATTAGAATTCAAAACCCTAAAACAGAGAAAATAAACAAACCAGCGGGTTCAGCGAAGAGATCGAGCTTAACTCTGCGACCAGCACCAATCTTCGCAGCTAATCTTCTCTCTTTCCTCTTCCCCATTTCAATTTGATTGCTTCACTCTCAAAATTGAAATCACCTTCTTCTTCTGCTACTAGTTAGAAAAAAAAATCCCAAAATAATCGAATTTTCTCGACGATTGGTTTATTGTGATTTCGCGGATTTTTTGGGGAAAATCTGAATTTGTACGGAGTGAATTGGGGGAAAACGTAAGAACCCTAGAAAAAAATTACGGAGTATTATCGAGAGAATTTTGGCTGTCTCACGTGTCGTTGATTCTGTTAATCGTACATCTGATTGATTAAAGGGGTTTATATGAAGCCCTGTTAATTTGGGGGCGGTGTTCGTGGTACTTTTGTAGCCAGACTAGACTGTGTAGTAAATCAAGCCCACATTCACCTCGAGAGCCACTTGTTCGGTTCAAATCCGATCATATCGGTCAAAACTAAGATGGTCCGGGATGGGTTAGGTAATCTTCAATTCTAGTGCTACTTGAGTTTTTATAAAAAAAAAAAAAAAAAAAAATAAGAAAGTAAATTAGAGGTGATCATAGGTCAGGTTGGACTTTAGCTGAAAAGATTAATCTTAAGCCTGACTTTGGCAATCTTGCTTTCGGGATGGAAAATTTATGCCAAACTCGATAATTTGAGCAGGTTTAGAATGAACGTTTCTCTGTTTCTGGCTGTAAATGATGTGAATTTTGATCCGAAAATCAATCTTCACAATGGGATATGATTAAGCTTCGTTCTATACAGGAAATCCACCAAGAACTAAGCAAAATCTAAGACTAATTAACCAAGAATCCACCTAATTAATTAATCCAAATGATGTGAATTTTAGTCCTAAAACTAAAACACACAAATATATGAATCAAGCTTAATTCTATACAGGAAAATCCACCAAGAATTAAACAAGAAACTAGATTAATTAACTAAGAATCCACCTAATTAACTAACCTAAACGAATGTTTTAACTAAAACAAGCAAAACAGCAATTGAAATCCATCAATTAAAACTCAAGTGTTTAAACTCAAAACAATGCAATAATAATCTCTCGAAAATTACCCCTATTTATAAACATAGGAGGCAACTAATTCTACTCCTACAAGGACTAGGACTAACCCCTAACCTTGTTCCCCAAGTATCCTAACTAGAATAAAATTACTACTTCTAACTAGAATAGGAAAACTTATCCTAATCAAACTCTAATTAACTAACTAAAAACTTTCCTAACAACCTTAGGAAGTTTATAGCAACTAAATGACAGAAAATTAATCTTATCCTAAGTGCTTAAACCAAGAAAAACCCTTTCAAGTGAAAGGTAAAAACTTACAAGCAAAAACTCTAGAAATAAACTAAATCTTTAAAATCATTCTTTTCATATCTATCGCCGCCACCACACCACCACACGCTTGTCTTGGAACCTTCAAAAGAATAAGCCTCTTAATTCACATCAGTAAATCTAGATGAGCCAATTGTGATCGGCTTTAAGATTAAATTCTTTTCAGTTTCAGCCATATATGTTTCATATCTATTTTGTCATTATATCTACAAGCTCTACTATAGCAATACTCCATATCTTCCAAATTTACTAAATTGTCAAATACAAGTATTTGATAAGAATAAACAATGTGAGTATATCTTTCAAATAAGTACTATTAGAATGAAAAAAGTATAACTGCTATGAAATGTGTGAGATAAACTAGGTGCTCATTATATAGTATCTCAATTAACCTTCAAGATGTTTCAAAAGAGATAGAAAGACTTTTTCTATGTTTTCTAAAGAAGAAAACCTCTTATCTCTTAATTGCTCGAAAGGGTACTTGGATAATCCTAGCATAACTTTTGGTACTTCTTCAAACCCTATCATTCAAAAATTTAGAGGCAATGAAAAATTTTGAGGTCGTATTGGACTTTACTCCTACATTCATGAAAAAAATACATATTGCCTTTGTTAGAAATTGTTTTTCTCTATCCATTTCCCTATCTACTACTTCCTTTAAGGATGACATGAGGAGTTGTTGAAGAAAGCTTACGGCGGGGAAATGGACGAGAGAACTCAAAGAAGATAACAAAAATACTAACTTCAATTTTTTAACCTATGGCAATATCCATGTATGTTTTAAATATTCATGTACTAAGCCTCCATTATTATTAAACTTGATATATTTATTATAAAATGCAAAAATTGTAAATACTTGAATTGGTCTCGTCTTATTGAACCTGATATACTATCATGTTAAAACTGTAACAACGTAATATTTGGATTAGCTATCAGCTACTATTACATATAGCCGAAATACCAATGAAAAGGAATTACATGATTTTAAATTTGTATAATATTATATTATTAAGGAAAGAAAGTAAGAAACTATATATGCTTTAATAAAGTCATTTATATAAGGTTGAAAAGTCATAAGTATGCTTGATAAGTTACCTTAAAAGGATATATCGAGTAATAGACATGAATAATATTCACAAAACAGTTCATCACTCATTATTATGACACATCCAATAAACAATGAAAAATCCGTGCATGTAAAAAAAAATGAATGATTTAAAATCTGTACTGAACTTATAATCATTCATCCTAACAAATACACATTTTAAGAGCATTAGGACGTAACATGAAAGCTAATTCTCTAATCATGCATAACTCTTATAGTACTTACCTATCTTAAACGCATACTCTACAACAAAGCTTAAAGATAAGACATTTAAGTTATTGCCATTGCTAACATTTAGAAATGTTGCCAGTATTGCAAACATGATCAATATGCAATCAAGAAATATAAGAAAAGCTCGTTGATCTATTTAATAATCAAATTCATAAGTCATCAATTACTCGATGATTTAGTGACATGATTTTGCATGATATTTAAGTATATTTAAGTACAAGTTGCTCATCACATGAATGTCTCTAGCCCACATCGTTTTAGTCCCAGTTGTATCAAGTGTATAGCTATAGAAGTCAATCATGCTTACATCGACTCAACTCCAAACCACTAAAAACACATGACAAATTAATAACACAAAAATAAACTAATCAGTGTTTAACACGGAATTAGTCCTTCTCGCCGTAATTATAAATATCGACACAAAAACCATTCATATCCCGTATTAACGATTTGTCGCAACACATTCGCTATTAATGTCCATAACCACGGAGAATCCAACCTCAATTGGGATCCTCCAATATTGTAGAGTACACCCCTTGTACAACTGCCGGCCCTCCAAACCTAACCTTGATTCATACCAAATCAACAGTATACAAAACCCAACTCAGTCAAGCTCAAGCAATACCCTATTTTTTATTCCCCCAAAAAAAAAAAAAAAAAAATCACTACCATCTTCTCTGTCTCTCTCTACTTAGCTGTCTGTCTCTGTTGTTGTGCCCCTCTCTCTCTTTTTTCTCTTTCTCTCTCCTACCTGTCTTCGAGACTCTGCTGCTTCATCATCGGAAGGTGAGATTTTTCTCTTTCTTGTAATTGCTGTTGTTTTTTCTGGATTGATTGAATTTTTACAGATTGAAGGATTTATTTCAAGTTCTGGGAATTTGTTGTGAGATCAGAATTGATGGTTTTTTGTAAGAAAGATTGAATTTTGATGATTTTTTGTTTGTGGGTTTTTATTCAATCATTCAGCTCTTAAATTTTTGTCTGAATTTTGTAAAGATTAGATCTTGATTATGTTAAATAGAGATTTCTGGAATTCTGGTTGTTTTTTTCCTCTTCTGCTTTTGTCGTTAGTTGATTCAATCATTTCTGCAAGTGATTGTTCTTTTCTAGAAAAATTCAATCAGAAAACGAGCATTGTTCATTGTTGCAATGATTCATTAATTGAATGCCAAAGAGAGTAGTATCCGTTGTCAGAAATTCAGTTTTATTTACTAGTATAATTTTTATAATCCTTATTTTAATTATTTATTTGTTTATATATGTATGTATATTTGTTGTGTGTGATTATGAGTGTAGACACCAGCGAGAAAAGCAGGAAAGAGTTAGGGTTTCGGCTTTTTCGGGTTGGTGTGTTGGGATATTTACGTTTTGGTGGATACTTATATGTTGTGGCATTGATGCTTGATACACTACAATGATAAAGAGTTGTAGAAGATTGTGGTTTATCAGGAGATATGGAATGAGTGAGTGTGTTGAATGCCACCTTTTAAAAGTTTGAGTTTTTTTTTGGAAGTAGAAATGTAGGCATTGGGGTGTTGATTATGATTATCGGATATGATTTCATTTCACTTTTGTTGGGGGGAAGGGGGCGGGGTGGTGAAAAGAAGCTGTTCGGAATTATGTAATTGGAAAGGGATTTTTGTAGTCTTCTTAGATTGCTTTTGGGTTGAAAGCTCTGATTAGAATATCAGAATTTGAATTTAATAGTTTTAAATGTTGTAATTCAATCCCTGTTGAATTGCTTGTATGCATTATGAATTCAATTCTGGAATTTTGATATCAGAGTTGGTGTGGGCGCCTGTTTCCAACCAAGGTTTAGTAAAGGAAAGCAGAGATGAAAATGGAGGTTCTCTGTAGGAAGGTTTAGCAAGTTGATATATAGGTTGCAGGCAGGGGTAAAATTTTCTATGAGATTAGGTATGTACGTGGGAGGAGGAGTTGGACTGTTGCAATTGCAAGTCATATTTTGGTGACTAGATATTTGAAATCTTCATATTTTATGGAAACCTGGGTCAATAACTAATAGAAACACGCTTGTGCTCCCAAACATATAATTTGCCTCTCTTCTTGGATTTTATTGAAATTCAGGTATTAAATACATCATAAAGGAGCTACGAGCTAGTGCATGTATATGATATACAAATCATGTTAAGTAGTAGAAAAACCTAATCCTAGATCCTTTCAAAGAGAAGTACCTTAAAATGACAAGAAAAACAACTCTATACAACTAAGACTCCTTGGGCTTTTGTTCAGGCTTTTGTTCCTTTCCGTAGATTGTAGTGCCAGAGAGATTGGTTGAGTCCACCATGATTACGTTTGCTTGTTCATCTAAAGGCTTTCCTACTAGGGCTTGGTGTTAGTTTTGGAGAAGTTATGATTAAAAGAGTACAAGTGTCCAGCATTTTTATAAGTAATCTGTTTGTAAATATAAGAGAATGATTTAGATCCCCTCGTTTCAGATCAACCTTACGAACTGTATCTATCTGTGGTATTAGAACCTTCAGTGTTGTCCACTGGTATTCACCCCTCGTAGGCTGAGATTTTCTTCCTATGCCAATATCGCTAGCAATATCTTTTGACAAGATTGTTTTTTGTTATGTAGATTTTTTATTTAATTTTTTATTTTTTTTTGTGAGGCAGAAGTATGCTTGAGGGAGGAAAATCAGTCAAGATGTTTTTTTACTCTATAAACAAAGTGTAGTTATAAAAGGCATGCTTTAACTTTCTGTGAAGTTAGAGCTTACTTTAGTAAAAGTGCTATTCTTTGGGCGTCTTCTTTTTTATTGTCTATTTGGTGTGGTTGATAAACTTGTGGTTGATTTTTGGAACAGATCAGTTTGAGAGCTCTACAGTGTAATATCTTAATCAACTGAAGTCAGCAGCAATATTTGGAAATGGTAAACAGGTGCGTTATAGTATATAGCGAACAGATCTTTTGGTCGATGCTAATAACTGATGGTAAAGGAATAGAATTTTTATGTAATTTTGTATGGTATGTCTCATGCTGATTTTCATGGCGATGTTTTTCCTTCCTTTATTAACTCTTTTCTTCATGAATTTCTATTACCATTCATTACTACCTTAGACGTAATATTGAGTGGTTAGGGAAATTTATGAAATATTTTACCGTGGACATTGACAATTTTGACGTGGGATTTTATTTACAAAACAGCATACTGTTTATTATATTTATCTTAATTTATTACTGTCCACCAAACAGGTTGTATATGTTTTTTTCTGGTTTAATTTTTATACCAGTATAATTCAAACTATTTAAACCTTTAGCTAAATCCAACAGGTATGGAGACTTTTGATTTACAGCAATTATCATGGTGCAGTGTATAGATGGAATTCAGCATTTATTTCTTTCCATTTTGCGGTGCTGTGAAATTGATGGTACCAAACCGCCGCGAGGTCTTGAAGATCCTGAGCGTCTAGCGAGGGAGACTGTCTGTAAGAAATTATTGACCTGTGCCTTTAGTTTGTGAATCATTAACATATTTAACCGCATTCTGAATGGTTTATAAGTTAAGCTTCTGTGATCTTTATTCAGTAGTATTCACTTGCAAATACAGTATCCAAATATTTAGTCATCCTCCTTAAAATCCTTGGAAAATGAATATATAGGAAAAATAAGAAAATGAAGTGTATAAAATCTTTATGATTAAAAGGCTGTGCACTGTTACTACTGTATACTATACCACATTGTGCTCTGATTTATGATCTGGTATAACATCTCCTTAAATGAGTTAACTTCTCCAATGCAGTTAGTGTGAGTGAGATAGAGGCACTTTATGAGCTTTTTAAACGAATCAGCAGTGCTGTGATTGATGACGGTCTCATCCAAAAGGTTTGCACACCCTTTTTTTGAAGGCTATATTTCATTTGTTAGTCTTTGCTATTCATTATGTGAAAATGTTTCTGGATTAATTAAATATGTAAATCTGGCAGAGATATAATTAATGCTCACTCTACGGTCACCAATAATACAAAATTTCTCATTCCTATAAATGAGTTTGTTTAAAAACTTCTTAAATGTCTTGCATGACGAGTATAATGAAAAACGTGTCAAATAATGTCACTAAAAATCAAAAGGTACTCCTTCCGTCTCTTAATTACGCGCCTGTTTTCCTTTTAGGAGAGCTCAAAATGTTTTGCTTATATGCGAATCTTTTTATTTAAAGGTTGTACTTTTTGACAATATAGTAAAACTTATTTCATTCCTCCTATCTCCTTTATTTTGCTGAGGTGGCATCTTTTTTCTTTTCTTTTGTACTATTGATGCCTTTTGACATCAAATCCCAATCACACTTTTTTATTCTCTCTCTTCATTAATTTTCGACCAACTTTTCTTTTTCTCTCTCTTTTATCTCTCTCTTCAACACCACATGCACAATTGTACTTGCAATCATGGGATTTGAGGAATTTCCAATTTCCTTAATTCCCGTAAAAAAACTCAAACGGGGACGTAATTAAGGGACAGAGGGAGTAGATATAAATCAAGATGTCTCATGAATCATGATGGAAAGAATATAGTGGGAGACATATTGGCTTTATTTTTTTTATTTTTTTTTTCCTGTTATCCTGGCGTGATGAGATTGAATCCAATTTCATGTTGTACTTTGCAGGAAGAGTTTCAATTGGCCTTGTTTAGGACCAATAGAAGGGAGAGCTTGTTTGCTGATAGGGTAAGTCCTCTGGGTAAAACTGAAAGTGCCCCTGCATGAAAGTTAAATACTTCCAAACCATGAACTGTGGAACACTCTTTCTTATCCAAATGCGTCCTCTTCAATGTCTAGCCGCATGAGGATTGAATACTTTTTCTTTGCTTGCCCATTTCTAATTTTTCTGAGCAATATTTGATGATACATCTCTTAGGGTTCTCAGTAATACCAACCATTTTTTTTTTGCAGGTCTTTGACTTGTTTGATACAAAGCACAATGGAGTTTTAGGCTTTGAGGAGTTCGCTCGTGGACTCTCTGTATTCCATCCACAAGCTCCCATCGAACAAAAAATCGATTGTATGTCTCTGTCTCTCTTTATATGGTTGATAATTTGTTGTCCTCCCAATTCTAAATTAGAGAATACTAAGGGTAGTAAGCCTGAAGGTCGAAAGCTGTAGGTCTTAGTTTTGCTTTGCAACACCACCAATCTAGGGATCTAACTTTCTGAAAGCATGTCATCAGATGGTTATAGATATGTCATGTCCGTTGCCATCCTATTTCATAGCATTATAATGATACTTTTCTTTCCCATTGGCTCTCTTCCGCTTCTTCTTTTTTTTCAATATGTATTTGTTATTGTTCTTATTTATTATGAACACCACCAATCTAGGGATCTAACTTTCTGAAAGCATGTCATCAAGATGGTTATAGATTTATCATGTCCGTTGCCATCCTATTTTATAGCATTATAATGATACTTTTCTTTCCCATTGGCTCACTTCCGCTTCTTTTTTTCAATATGTATTTGTTATTGTTCTTATTTATTATGAATTGCCATATACAGCAAAAATTGTGGAGAGTAGGGGGTGAATCCTTGTTGTGCATTTCCATACACCAATAGATTTTCTTGTGTGATTCTAATAACACAAGCTTACCTATTTTTCGCAGTTTCTTTTAAGCTTTATGATCTCAAGCAACAAGGTTACATTGAGAGGGAGCAGGTGAGTTGTAATTCCATCTGTTTTGTCATTGATTACTAAATACTGACGTGCTGAATATGGGCTGTTGATTAATGCATAATAAAAACTTATGTGTTACTCCCCACTCCCCCACCCCACCCCAAAAGCATGACAATATGACATTCATTCATTAGGTCAGCAAACTCATGCTACAAAAAGAGTTTTTCGTAGCTTACATATGCTTGGACCAGCGATTGGCTTGAAAATATGAATGGATTAGGCAAGGCATCTCCCTAGGTGAAAAAGGTGACCCAGGTAGGAGAGAGATATAAATGTTGAAAGATCTTATGTTGGGTTTCAATTAGCATGATGTCGTAATTATATGTTGATCAAAGCAGGTCTCTATTTTTTTTTACTTTACTTTAAGAGGAACCAATTCTTGAGCCCTTGATAAGGAGCACAAGTAAAATCAAATAAACAAGTGACATTGCTGCACTCAATTTAACACTCCTTTGGCTTTATTTGATACCTAAAGGTGTAGTATAAGCCATACCGACCTCCCACTGGGTTTATAAACCCTATATCTTGTGGGTTTGAGATATGGGTATGAAAATTAATATTTTGTTAAACAAGTACAAGGTATAGGTTTTATCCATTCTAAACTCGTACCTTTTTTTTTTTTTTTTGAAAGCTTCTAAACTCATATCTTATACCTGAATTACTTGAACAGCTTTCCCCGACAGAACTCCCTACATCATCATTTTCCCGACTTCCCTCCCCAATAAGAAAAGAATAAATAAAAAAGGAATGGTGGAATAAAGAACACAAAGTATGGTTTTGCTGTACGAGTACAAGTATGAAACTTTTCTGCTGATAGTAGTGAATAAAAGAGCCAAGTTTCTTGAATTGGCTGAGGTTGATGACAAGGGCCAATTCCCAAGGGCTGGGACCATTACATACCAGTCTGTCACCCACCAAGTCCGAGAAAATTAGGGTTGCTTCTGATCCCTAGACTCCCTACTGTACCCTAGTTACTTGGTACACTTTGGCCATGTGAGCCATATAATGATGATTTCAATCTGGTCCTGCCAGACCTTGCTTTAAGTCCCTTTCAGTCATGGCCATTAATGCTAATTGAAATTATTGTGATCCTTATGTAGTTTAAGGGCATTTTCCTTAAACAATCAAGCTTGATTTTTTTCCCCCCTTTTTCCAAAACATGCATAATGCAAACTGCTTAGTACTTCAGTTCCAATTGTCCAGTTGGTGACTAAATGCTTAAACAGTCTGACAAGATTCTCCTCTATCAACTTAGTTGAATTGCTTGAAGGTCTATTTTTCCCTTCCACCTATGCTATGGTTCTTTAAGAAGAATGATGTTACCCTTGACTCTGATCAAACTGAACGTTAGCCATCCATATCCAGCAGTCAATAACATTATTGAAATCTCTTGAATTTACTGAAACTTAGCCTGATAAAAAATGATGCTTTCTTTTTGGAAGGAAGGATATTTGTGAAAAGTTCCTCAATTGGATACTATACTATCTATGGTGACATCTATTATTAAACTTACCATATCGCAAAAGTCCTTGTTGTAGCAGTTGTAGCAATTCTTATTTCAATCATTATGTCCTATCATGGTGGTATATTCTACTCACATTTTGTAACAGAATATCAGTATAATTGTTCAGAAACCATCCCCAATACGCTTGTTGATTTTGCATTATCAAATATTGAAATTTGCTGGCTTACCCTTGCTACTGTTTTTTGAGCAAATGTTATTCTCTATGTTATTCTTGATTTGTCTCCCCAGAGTTGAGCGTTCTTGCCAACATTTATTTATACAGGTGAAGCAAATGGTTGTGGCTACATTAGCTGAAACTGGTATGAATCTTGCAGACCATGTTATTGAAGAAATCATCACCAAGGTCAACATCAACCTCTCCCTCCCTCTTTTTTCCCTTTAAAAAATTTTGGTTCTTAGGTACTTTTAAAATATTGTTCTGTTGTCATTTAGGTTAGGCTGTGTATTTTTGAAGGATAGAATAAAAAAATAAATCAGGTTTCAATTTCATTTTCCTTTGTTTGATTCCTTGATAGAAGGAAGTGGAAACAACGGGATGGAAGGGAGGAGTGGAGGAAGGTGTAATATCTAGTGAGCAATGTATTAACCGAAATGTTTTCTACCCTTGGGAAACTATTTACAGCCAAACAATTTTTCCTTTCACCCCTTTATAAATTAGGTGACAAATTTATGTGCTTAAAGAAGTTCGTGTGGACTTTAGTCTCTGACTTGTTGGGACTATAACTAATTCATGATTCTTCGTGCAGACCTTCGCTGAAACAGATACCAAACAAGATGGTAAGATTGACAAAGAAGAATGGAGAACCCTTGTCTACCGACATCCTTCACTGCTGAAGAACATGACCCTTCAATATTTGCAGTAAGTCCACTCAATTGCTAGACTCATTAATCATAATACTATGAATCCATGATAGTCCCTTAACTTCAAGGAAAGATTTTCAATTTTGATTGCTGGATAAGTGAATAGCAGAATTGTCGTTTTTTTTATTTCCTGATCTTCTTATTTGTTTTTTGGCAGGGAAATTACAATTACGTTTCCGAGCTTTGTGTTCCATTCTCAAGTTGATGATACCTGAATTCCATTCAAGTTTTGATCTTTGGATCGTTTCATCCGTTGATTTATTGATTGATTTTGCTTTTACCAGACAAATATTCAGCATGGTTTTTTTTCCTTTATGGAACCCTTTTGTACAGACTACAGAGGTTTGAAAGAATTGCTTCATTATACATTATGAATCATGATTAGCTTTTAAATAATGTAACTTCTTTCTTTTGCGTACTTTTTTCTCGTTTGTTTTTTTCTTATATATTTCAAGTGACAAGGGGACTATATGTTAAGTGACACGTATATATTTCACGTATATATTAACATATTTATTATGATGTTTTGCTCTCTTCACTTTGAAATAAGGTGTTATAGACTTATGGTTTGAATTTTTGAAACGTCTAATAAAAATTGCTATGATATAGAACTGATTCCAACAAACATAAATATTACTTCTTTGACTCGCAAATGTAATTTTACATGATTAAAAAAAATTAAATAAAAAAAGGAACAATTGGTAAAAATAATCTCAACTTTTGCCTATTCGCAAAAAATATTCCCAACTATGGATTATTTTTATAATTCGAATTTTATGGGTCATTCGCTCAAAATAGTCTCAAGTGACCGGTAACCTATTAAAAAGTTTTTATTTATTTAAGTGACACGTGTCACTATGTGATTAGTTGAAAAAATAATTAAAAAAGAAAAACTAAAACTAAAACAAAAAAAAGTCCTATCCACCTATCCGGCAGCCTTCCCTCCCAAAAGCCCAGCCCTGGTCCCCGCCCCCACCCTCACCAACGCCCATACCTCCCCCTCCCCCTCGCCGACGCCAGCGCAACCCTTCCCCCTACCCCCGAACCACCAAACCAGGCCACCACCTTACCCTAAATGAAACCCCTAAAAAAATACTCCCCATCGCATAAACCCCCTAACCGGCCCACCCCCACCCTCACCAGCGCCCATACCTCCCCCTCCCCCTCACCGACGCCAGCGCAACCCTTCTCCCTACCCCCTGAACCACCAAACCAGGCCACCACCTTACCCTAAATTGAAACCCCTAAAAAAAACTACTCCCCATCGCATAAACTCCCTATCCGGCCCTCCCCCACCCTCGTAACCCGACTTGCTATAATTGATGGTGTATTGGAGCAAATGGATGACGGATTGGTGCTATTGTTGTGCGAATTGCTGACTTTGGCTGGCGGTGTACAGGGGTGTTGAATTGTGGTCGCAGCGGAGCTGGCGGTGTATAGGGGTTTTGTGGTTTCAGGCGGAAGGGGAGTGACGTCGGCACGGGGGAAGGGTTTCTGGGCAACCGACGGGGATGGGGGTTCCAGGAGGATGCTGTGGCTGGTGGTGGGGAGGGTAGTCGTGGGTGGGGCTGGGTTTGTTATTTTATTTTTGTAAGTTTTTATTTTTTTAATTAATTAAGCTTTTTTTTAAAAAAACATTCTAACCAATTACGTGGTGCCACGTATCACCTTAACCTGTTATAACAGGTTGGGTGACTGGTTGAGACCATTTGAGTGAATGACCCCCAAAGTTCGGATTATATAAAAATAATCCAAAGTTGGGATTATTCTGAGCGAATGGGTAGAAGTTGGGATTATTTTTACAAATTTTTCCATATATATATATATATATATATATATATATATATATATATATATAAAAAGACTAGCCTATTTTCTTTGACTTGTAAATGCCCTTTTACATGAAAAACTAGCCAATTTTATTATTATAACCTTGCTAATTCCTCCATTTTTTATTAGATGCATCATGTTTTAAAAACGAAAGTTTCAATTGAAATGCATTACTTTCCCTTTTAATTAATACTTTCTCTCTATCACTCTCCTACTAGAGCTCTCTTTATTTTTTCTCTCTATCTCTCTCAATTCCAAAAATTGTCTAAGAGTCCGCAATTACATAAGTTTTTTTTTGGTGTTTAGAGAGTCACAAGGGCGAGGGTGAGAATCGATCTCGGGGTCTCCTGAAATCGAGAGGGAAGCTCTCCCGCAATTACAAAAACAAAGGAAGTACAAAAAAAAAAATTCATTCTTACCATTCGCAATTTCAAAAGTGATAGAAGTACAATTTTTGTTCATTCTTATCTGTAAGGGTAATTTCGTTTTTTCATAGCTTAATACCTACTCAATTTTCCTCCCACCACCCAAACTCCCTCTTACATTCCTACGAATCCTAACCCTTATAATTGTTATAAATAATTTCCCAATTGAATTAGACTTCAATAACATTGCGCAAAGTTGAAGAGAGAGAAAGATGATCGAGGTGGTGTTGAACGACAGATTAGGGAAGAAAGTGCGAGTGAAATGCAACAAAGATGACACCATTGGAGACTTGAAGAAGCTTGTTGCTGCTCAAACTGGTACTCGCTCTGAAAAGATCCGAATTCAGAAATGGTACACTATTTACAAGGATCATATTACTCTTGAAGATTATGAGATTCATGATGGCATGGGTCTCGAGCTCTATTACAATTGATCATTCATGGTTCTTTCTCTCTCCTCGCCTTTTTTTTTAAGTGAATTTTTATGTTAATTTGGGACTGATTTTGTTTGAATGTTGATTATTTGATTGATAATTTGAGTTGTTGTTGTTAATTTTGATGGGTTGGATTATGGATATTCTGGGAATTTGGATGTGGGTTTTTGTTTATTGTTGTGCTTGGTGAAATTTGTTGGTTATTGGACCTTGAAATTGAAATAAAAGCTATTAAAAACCCTAATTTTCGGGTGTTTGAAACGAAATACTATGATTTAGGGTTTGTTATCACTATAAATTGTTTGTTTTGGGAATATATAGATGAAATTTGATTATAGAGCATACAAGACTTGAATATACAGTAGCTTTTAAAGAGATTCTAAGCCTAGTAATTAGTGCTCACTGCTCTGTGATGAATTCTTTCTAATTGGAAAGGTACACGGCTCTAACGATCCCCCTATCTTGGAAGACGTGTCCAGTGATGAATGATAATGTCTTAACGAGAACTATTGAGCAGTGTATCGTGCAAATTGTAGTGAATTTTGAGATCTTCCTTCATCTTTTTTAATGAAATCATCAAAATTTTCTGTGAAATTCCTATGTACTAATCTTGACAATTACTTTCTCTTCTTGTTCTGCTTCATCTTCGTTATAATTGTGCTCTTCATAAGATCAGCTGTCAGAATATTCCTTCTTGTACTATTTGTTATCATCATCAATGATCACATCTTCCTGATTATCTTCTTCTGTTAACGATTTTGTTTCTTTCTAATCCATTATCATTCTCATCATCACTGGTGGCGTACTCCAGGCCTCCAATTGTGATTTCCCTATCGAGGATTGCATACTCTGACTGTATGCCTTGTAATACGAGTCGTTATCAGGACTTGTCTCAGGCAGAAGTGGAAGTGGTGGTGGTGGACTGGTGGGCATGTATGGAAAGTGTGACTTGAGTATTTTTACAATGAAAATCAGTAATCCATTAAATAACAAGAATATGCAATTGTAGATAAATGGGAGATGAGAAAATGGAAGAAGGATGGCCAAGACGGGTGCAAAATTAACAATGAGGGATTTATTTGGGTTATTTTGGATTATTAATACATCGCTGTTACAAATTTGGATCATTACCCATCAAATTATTTCAAACAGAGATGATTTTAAATTTGGTAGAAAGTTATAACGGAGAAGCTTAGCATTCTTGTTGGTTTTAGAAGCTAAAACCCAAGATCTCAATTGTAGTCTATTTAATAATTTAATTGCTTTAGTTAAGACTTGGCTGTATTATGTTGTGCAGAAAATAGATCTTATCTGTCAAACTGATTCTTATTTTCTGTACTCGTATTATTCATGCAGGCTGATGGTCTGATGGAGCTGCCAAGCGTGAATGCCTTGCTTTATACTAATTGTATGTATGAGGTTTGAAGAACAAATAATTAGACATGTAATACATACTCCAGTGATAGACAAATGGATTCTATGATATAGATATGTAATTGTCTAAAACATGTAATCAATTTAAGATATGTAATATGTTATGCTGTGAACTCTTCTTAATCTGATCGTTGTTAATTCAGTTATGTGGATGGATAGTGTATTAGTGTGCTTCAAATTAGAGAAAATAGTCCTATCTAATTGACAATTAATAGTTCTCCACCAAATTAATAATTCTAGATCCGCCTCACCCTTGGCATTTTCCATTGGTTATTAATCATACTAACCACCACCGCCACTTTTGACTCCAGCAATGGCAATGATAAGAGAGAAATGACGAACCGTTACTCACATTTGCATTTGCATTGCACTATCCTGTATTCATCATCCAAAATTATTCACTTCATTTTCACCAAAAGTCCCATTCCATGTACCCCTTGAGATTTGGCATCATTGTCGTTGGTCTACAATTATTTGCTATCTTATTACATACATATTCCCTGTTCAAGCACAGATTTACATAATTATATATTCGTCTTACTGAGCTAATCACTCGTCATTAGGTCATCCATTACTTGTCTCAATCTATTCCTGCTTAATCGAGTTGGAGGCTGGGAGTGCAACCGTCATATGATTCCTCTCCTCTGAACTAGCTAGGCTACGTTAGGCCAACTTCCAACCCAGAGTCTAACCCAAATCGATTTATACAAGGACATCAATTTTCACAGATTTACATTCGTCTTGCTGAGCTAATCACTTGTCTTCCATTTGACAAGTTCTGAGATCAAAGCTTATACGCTACGCAAAAGAGTGCATTGATAACCAAGTTTACAACCTTTATCGTCTTAAGTTGCAAGATTTGGGTAAATCTGCACTTAGTTTCTACAGTAAGACTTTCTGCTTCACCACGAAAGTGTAAATCTCTGCAAGACTTCTGCTTAACAAAAGCATACAAATGATTAAGCACGCTAACAATCTACATATCTAATGACCTCAAAACAGGTCCAATAGACTGCTGATTTTAACAGCACATTTCTCTCGATAGCTAACCTGCCTAATTAATCAAAAAATGCATAGTTATACTTATCTTATCTCATATTCTCAGTTCAATTAACAGAAGAATCTGTAAAAATAATTAAAGAAAATGCAAACACAGAATTACGCAAAATATATAGATTCATTTAACTGTGCTAATCACTTGTCTTCCATTCAAATCTAAACAAAAGGCCCCAAGCAAAACATGGCAGCTACCACCCAAAAAAATTCCCATAGTTCAAAAGAGACTACTCACATTAAACAGGGGCAAAATGATAATAAGAGTATTAAAAATACGGAAAGAAACTAATAACTACTACTACTACCCAGTAAATCAGATAAAAGCTAGAACCCATCAAGCTTAGTCGACCTCCTCCATCTTGGATCCTTCAGCATCAACTTCCTCAAGTGCTGGCATGTCAACATCAGCTTCTCCAGCATCGTCGTCAATGCTCAGACCAAGTTTCAGCATTCTGTGGATGCGGTTCCCGAAGGTGTTTGGCTCGTCAAGGCTGAACCCAGAAGTCAACAAGGCAGTCTCGAACAGGAGGAGAACCAAGTCCTTAACAGACTTGTCATTTTTGTCAGCATCAGCCCTCTTCCTGAGTTCTTCCATGATTGGGTTCTCGGGGTTGATCTCCATGGTCTTCTTGGAAGACATGTAACCAGCCATGCTAGAGTCCCTAAGTGCTTGGGCCTTCATGATCCTCTCCATGTTAGCAGACCAGCCATACTCACCAGTGACCAAACAGCAGGGAGAGTCAACAACACGGTCAGAGACGATAACCTTCTCAACCTTGTCTCCAAGAACATCCTTGATGACCTTGCACAGACCCTCAAATTTCTCCTTTTGTTCCTCACTTTTCTTCTTCTCATCCTCGCTCTCATCAAGCTTAAGTCCCTCCTTGGTGGCAGAGACCAACTTCTTTCCCTCAAACTCCTTAAGCTGACCAACTGCATACTCATCGATAGCATCAACCATGTATAGGACTTCATAACCCTTCTTCTTCAGCTTCTCAAGGAAGGGAGAGTTCTCAACAGCCTTCTTGCTCTCACCAGTGATGTAGTAAATCTCGTTCTGGCCCTCCTTCATTCTGGTCACATAGTCCTTAAGGCTGGTCATCTCCTCACCGCTCTTGGTTGAGTGGTATCTCAGCAACTCAGCAAACTTGGTTCTGTTGGTAGAGTCCTCGTGGATTCCAAGTTTCAAGTTCTTGGAGAAGGCCTCGTAGAACTTGTTGTAGTCTTCTTTGTTCTCAGCAATCTCAAAGAATAGCTCAACACATTTCTTAACAAGATTCTTCCTGATGACCTTCAAGATCTTGTTTTGTTGCAACATCTCCCTGGAGATGTTAAGAGGAAGATCCTCAGAATCAACAATACCCTTCACAAAGCTAAGGTACTCAGGGATCAAATCTTCACAGTTGTCCATGATGAAAACACGGCGAACATAGAGCTTGATGTTGTTTGGCTTCTTCTTTGTGTCAAAGAGATCAAAGGGTGCTCTCTTGGGCACAAAGAGGACAGCCTTGAATTCTAGCTGACCCTCAACAGAGAAGTGCTTCACTGCCAAGTGCTCTTCCCAGTCATTGGTAAGGCTCTTGTAAAAAGCAGCGTACTCCTCCTTTGTAATCTCCTCTGGCTTCCTCATCCAGATGGGCTTTTGCTTGTTAACAACTGACCATTCATGGGAGACCTCCTTGATCTTCTTTTTCTTCTTCTCTTCTTTCTCTTTTTCCTCATCAACATCCTCTACTTTACCTTCCTCGTCTTTCTTCTCCTCTTCATCCTCGTCATCAGAAATCTCCTTCTCAATGGTCTTCTCAATCCAGAGAGAAATGGGATAGCTGATGAACTCAGAGTGCTTCTTGATTAGATCCTTGAGGCGACGCTCTTCAAGGTACTCTTGTTGGTCCTCCTTAAGGTAGAGAGTGATTTTAGTACCCCTGCCAAGGGGCTCACCAGTTGTGTCCCTAGTCACTGTGAAGGAACCACCAGCTTGGGACTCCCACACATACTGTTCGTCATCATTGTGCTTTGTTGTGACAATAACCTTCTCGGCAACAAGGTATGCAGAGTAGAACCCAACACCAAACTGACCAATCATACTCACATCAGCTCCAGCTGCCAAAGCTTCCATGAACTCCTTTGTTCCAGACCTGGCAATAGTACCCAGGTTGTTCACCAAATCTACAGACAAAAATTCACAATCAGTACACTAGTAAGTCAAAACACACAAACTAAAAAGTACAAAAGACCACAGCATAATTATACAAGTAACAAATAGGATTAACTAAAACTCACCAGCCTTGGTCATTCCGATGCCACTGTCAATGATTGACAGGGAGTTGTTAGCCTTGTCTGGCACGATGTGAATAAAGAGTTCTGGCTGTCCATCGAGCTTACTTTTGTCTGTCAAGCTCTCAAAACGGATCTTATCCAAAGCCTAAAGAGACGGTAAGAAAATCATTAGATTTATATTCAGCACCTATAGTCCACATGACACTGACTTTGACAATTTAGACAAAAATTAAATAGGAAAGGACCAATTTAATAAACAAATTACTTCACAATCACTCAACGTGCTGCAAAAATCAAAAGCTGAACTTCACTCAGACAGCTAGAATAAAAGTATTCTCAACCACGCAAAAACAATTAATCATCACTCACAATTATAAGCGGTTTACAAAGCATATACCAGAACAATACTTAGCGTGATTGAATAAGCTATCAATACAAGAAAAAAGACAATTGGAATAATAATATCTAAATTTCCGATAAATAATTGGAGTATTTACATCTAAATTTTTCACAATTTAGAATTACAAAACAATATGCAGAGATCTACATAACTGTAAACCAATACATGCTGTTATATAAGAAAGCTCCAGGCAATCATATAACATGAACTGCACTCATGAATGTTGACACAATACAATCAGAACACCAATAAAAGGCAATCAGAGTAACAAACACAATCAGAACAACAATAAAAGGCCATCAGAACATCATGATCATATCAGACGATGTATTCTAATATCATCCTGCCTCGGAAAATCTAAATCAAGCAACATCACTACACTCTAAATCTTCACTGATACAATGAATTCAAATCTTAGGTCAAACCACAATTGAATTCAGATACTAATTTTGTTTGCAATTTCTTAATTCATACAATTTAAAAACAATTCAATCACTAAATTCTAATTGTAGCCGTTGCCGCAACCACCTAATTACATCAACATATTCACGGATCGAACAAAAAGCATCATAAAACATGAAATTAATATAAAATCACATATCAACTACTCGATTGCAATGATCTAGATCAATACACATGAGGTCAAACATTCACAAAAATAAACCATTTCTCGCAATATAAACGCCTAAAAGCAAAATGAAAAGCGAAAATTCAACTCCAAAAACACAAAAACAGCATCATACATCAACATCAAAACCTAATTCAAAATCTAAAAACAATACAGTCCAGAATCAACAACATATAATGTAAATCGCACATCAAAAAACCGTGAAATTAACAATTAAATCTACAGAAAGAGCAAAAAAATGGAGAGAAAATGGAATCATACATCGGAAGAGTTACTGATAAGCTCACGAAGAAAGATCTCCTTGTTACTGTAGAAAGTGTTGATGATGAGACTGAGAAGCTGGTTGATTTCAGCTTGGAAGGCAAACGTCTCAGCTTCCGCCATTGATGAGATTTCTCTGACCTCGAGATCGAATTTGAAATGAAGAGAGAGAAATTGAAGAAAATGAGAAGTTAGGGTTTAAGGAGTAGGAGGCGGAATAAGAAATAAGAATGGAGAGCCAGTTAGTTTTATAGGGTAAAGTATTAGGGTTTCTAGATCCTTCTATTTGAACGTGAAGCTTAGGAAATCTCGGAGCGGAATTTTCTTTTTTTCTTTTTTCTTTTTCTTTTTCTTTTTTTTTTAGGGGGGAGTTGATGTGATGGTAAGAAGGTGATGGTTGGGATATTTTTCTCATTATTAATTAAAGGTTAAAAAAAAAGTGCAAATTGAACAAATGATTGATGCAATTGGGGATGAGGTTGCTTCATAGCTAGGTAGATCATCCTTCTTAATTTTTTAAT